CTCAACCTTTGCAACTTTAAGATATGTGGACTTCAACTCCCCCTCCTGGCTGGGGAATGATGGGGAGTTGAAGTCCACATATCTTAAAGTTGCAAAGGTTGAGGAACACTGATCTAGTGGTTGCCTAGATATTTACAGCATAGAACTACAGCTCTAAAGACCACCTTTAGAATTCACTGAAATTCTTTTACAGGTTGAACTTTAAGAAAGAAAAAAATCCCTCAGAAGTGGAGGAGAGAGAGGAAAACAAATGGAAAGGGATGGAGGACAAGCCTTGACTAATATGATAATGAGACCATTGGGTTTTTTTGGGGTCATCTCTAGTTTTAAACCAGCTTTTCCAAATCCAGCATTGTTCAACTGTGTAAGACTACACCTCTCTTTTTACTTAGCCAACATTGGTATGCTGATTGGATGATGGCAAGTATAATCCAATACATCTGGACGGTGCTAGGCTAGGGAAGGGTGTCCTACCCTCCCAACTGTTTATTACATCAAGCATATTATTCCATTTTCTCTCCCTTGTTCTTCTGTTCTCAAAGGCTGCTTTCTCATTCTCAGAACAGGAGGACAGCCTTTTGTATGAACAAGAATGTATCATGAAGACACGGCCCATTCTGAAGTGCAGCAAATCTGAAATAATATCCATACAGGAAAACAAAAACAAATCAGGATTCTGGCGATCCCTTGTTCCAGGAGTGATTTCAGCTTTCCCCCCTATTCACTTGATTTTCTGCAAGCTGGTGGAAGGAGAGGGAGAGGAAAAAGATGCCTAAAAATGTATTTTTTGAAATTGAGACTAATCAGCTATGCAGTTGATTGATCAGATTCCCAGTAATAATGAGATAAGTAGTGTTAAAATATATGCATCAAATAATATGCCTGGGAGATGCTATTGGCAGAAATTAAGGTTTGAAGAGAAGTAAAAGCAACACTGTGTAATGTTCTAATTTTGTTGGATGAACCATAAATCCTACAAGAACAAAACAAAGGAGGAACAGCAACATTTAGTTGATAGAATGCCACGTTAGGAGTAAAAAAAAACTTGGGTCCAAATTCTATCTCAGCCTCAGAGCTTATTGTCTGACCATTTAGCATCTGTTCAGCCTGATCTTTCAGATGGGATTGATGCAAAGATAGAAAAGGTAGCAGGTGTGCTCCCAGGAACTCCTTGAAGAAACAGGAAAAGTGCTGAATATTTAAATATACCATTATTATTTAAAATGTTATGTGTTTAAATTACTTGTTAGCTAGGTTGGCCCAAACACCGGGCTAGTATGGGACTCAGTCCAGGCTAACATTTCCAATTCAGCTGCTCCATACGACAATTTCCCTTTGAATATCCTTTTTTTAAAAAAATTCAGGATGGTAGCTTGGGTTGATAAAAAGATCTTTCTCTACATTCACCTAATCATGGTCCAGTATGCCTTGGCTAATTTTTTTTTTTTTTGGTGCCATGTATACCCAGTGATATTTTGTCTCCTGTGAGTTAGACAGCTTAATTCATCCATAGCTGTACTGCTGTTAAAATAGAATTATCTCCAAAAATGTTCTATGGCTGCTGCAAAGTGTGTAAAATTGGTTACACTTTGCTACCTATTATGTCAGAGGAGAAGCCAGGTGACCAGTAGTGGATGAGATATGAGCAACGCTTATTGGCTGCTTTAGGCTGATGTGGGCATGCTCCTCCCCCCTACTCCATCTGTGGTCAACCTTGTCTGCTGTCATTCTGCTGTATGCAGCAATGCTCTGCTAACTGTCCATCAGAATTCCATACTAGCACTAAATTGCATATGTTTTAACTCTCTGGTCCTTACTGATTTTACTGATTACACAAGAGAGAAATAGTGAAACAATGGAATGACTGGGCCAAACCACCTCTCCCACTGCCTCCTGGATTAAAGTCCTCACACAAAGAAAGGTAAAGAAGAGCAGAGTAATTCCAAGTAAAGTACTGTGGAGTCCTTGGGGTTCTCTGAGCTTGGTTGTTTTTGTGCAAACGTTTCGTTACCCGGCTAGGTAACATCCTCAGTGCTAGCACGGAATGTCTGCTTATATACCGTGGCATGCCCTGCCAGTGTTGGTGTGGGTGTGGGTTTTGTTTTGTTTTATTTTTTCCCCCTCTGGTAGTTCCTTGATTAGGGTATTGTTTACTGCTTGATTGTATGTCTGGGAATAATCTTGGTGTTACCCTAATCAAGGAACTACCAGAGGGGAAAAAAATAAAACAAAACCCACGCCCACACCAACACTGGCAGGGCATGCCACTGTATATAAACAGAGAGCAAACCCATCCCATTCTAGCGCTGAAGATGTTACCTAGCCGGGCAATGAAACGTTTGCAAGAAAACACCCAAGCTCAGAGAACCCCAAGGACTCTACAGTTCAACCCTGAGATACACATATTCT